TCTAATAAGTACGTGGGACACGAAGTGGCCTTCGTCTCGCCTTCGGCTCACCTTCGGCTCGCCTGCCTTCGGTGGCGTTACGTCGTGTTCACCCCGCGGCTCGTTTGACGCGCCCGAGTGGTGTGACGACCGGGCCGCACGCACGGACGCAAGTTCAAGTTTAACTAGCCCCAAAACAAAACAAAACAAAAATGGACTTTAAATTTTGAAATCGGTTAAACTTTTTGTTTGGAGGTTTTTGGAGGAGACCCGAGCGTTTGGCGGACATGTGCAATCTGGCCTCCAAACTGGCCGGGGCTCTTAGCGACCGTTACCGTAGCGGTGTGGGTGGAAGCCAGCAGAGCCAGCAAAGCCAGCTGACCCCGTGCGACACCTGCCGCTCGTGACGCGCTCTGTCTCTGTCGCACTCACGGGGGGGGGGGGGGGGGGGGGGGAGGGGGGAGTGAAGAGACGGAAGGTGCCGGAAGGGTTCGCGGAGTGGCGCTGATGGGCCTTCCCTTGACAGTGCAGCCGCGGCCGGCCAGGGCTGCCGGCCTTGTCCTTCAGCCAGCGTCGCTCTGTCTCTCTCGCACTCGCGGGGCGTCCCGCCTCGGTGCGAGGGAGACAGTGTGTTGCGCGAGAGAGACGCACCCGGGCCGTTTTGCCACTGAGGAAAGACAAAGAAAAAATTAAAGAGCGCAAATGCTTGTTCTTCTTTTCGAACTATGTTACTTAGCGCCACTACAAAACACGACACTACCAAAACGTGGATACACCTGCAGCGCAAGTGTTTTTGATGTGAACACAACGCGTCCGCAGGTACACCCCCTTGGCTATTCCTATCAGGTGTCCCCATCAGCCCAGGCGGGCGTCCTTCCGCTGGGCCGGTCACAGAGGCATTGCGATGCACCGCGGTCTCTACTCCTCTCTCTCCCCCTCCTAGTAGGCAGGGCCCCGGGGCCGGAGGGCACTCTCATTGAAATAAATCTCTGGAAGCAGCGCGAAGCAGCGCGCACCGTGTTGCCTAATAACACCGCCAGAGGTCGCCGCCGTCGCCGGTGTTTCCGGTGGGAACGGGGAGGCGAGGCACCCCTGGGCCGGTGGATTGGTTGGGTTCGCCAATGACGCACAGTGGCCAGAGGACCGGTGGAGGCGGCTAAAATGGCGGGGCTAAGGGTGCGAGAGAGACGGAGCGAGTGCCGAGGGAACGGGAATCGTCACGGACATCAGTGCCGATTGGGCTGTTTGTCTGCGGGATTCGTTGCAGGCGGTGTCGCAAGGCCCTGCACTGTAAGTAGCTGATGGATCTCGCGCGCACACGAGCAGGCTCATTGCGCGGCCAATCGGAGAGCCGCATCGGCCCGCGCAGCGCCGCGCATCCAATGGCAGCGTGGCGGTGACGTCACCGGCGGTTGCCAATTCGGAAGATGCAGCAGGTGACCCCCAGATAGCGGCAGGCTTTCGACGAAGACCGGGAATGGATTTTGGCAGTGTGGCGGCCACTGTGTGCCTCGGCGGCCTCGGCGGCCCCGCCCTTTCCTTGCAGTGCAGGCCCTGGGCCGAAGGGCCGCGAAGGGCCGCGGTCCCCGTTAAGGCCTCGTTAAAGCGCCGTAAAGCGTTATTAATAGCGATAGGCACCGCTAAGGGGTCGAGCCTCCCAAACACACGACTCCCGTTTCGGGGTCATTCTGTGAATTCCGTTGTTGGGAGCATTTGAAAGTTGGCGTGGGGGTCAGGGGGACGGGGAGAGCGCGCCTGCACTGCCTGCAGTCGCTTGGATATTGTGCCCGGAGGTGTGACGGGCCACTCGCTACTTAGCGGCACGGAGGGGCCGAAATGTGCAATTTCGGTGCAGTCTCGGCGCCGCCCAGCGCCAACGCACAGTGGGCCAGAGAACCGGGCGGAGGCGGCCAAAACTCTCGACGTGTTTTGAGCTCCAGAGTCGCTAAATGGGACTCGAACCGAACGTGTGACCTGCGTTCGGAGAGCAATCCATTGGTGGGGTCACACGTTCGCTTCGAGTCCTGGTTAGTGACTCTCGAGCTCAAAACGCGTCTGAGGATTTTGACCGCCTTCACCGGTCCTCTGGCCCACTGTGCAACGGCCCGCGGCGGGCCGGCCCACCGCGCGCCAACTTTCAATAATTCGTGCATTTTCGTTTTTCGAAGCGTCGGCACGTTCATTTAGCGGGCGTTGAAAACGCTCGGCCGCCGCGAGGGCCGTCAGGCGCACGCGACACGGCGTCAAAGTGGCTGGGAGCGCACGCCGGTCACGCCACTGTGAGACAGGGACGCCAACTTTTATGCGGTTTATCATCTTGGTAATATCATTTTGGATGGATTCTTCACATTTAAAAGTATGACGTAGTGATAGTCGATGACGTGATTTTTTTTCACGGTGAACTAAAAAAAACAACGTTTTTTTTTGGAAGAGTACTTTAGGATGGTAAAGCGATAGGGCTCAAGGGCAAGGATGTCCCTCTCCCTCGAAGGAGTCATTCTCTTTTTTCCTCATACGCCACACTGGGAATACGCCCACCGCGCACGTCGGCTGAGTAATCGTTCCTTTACACACAACCTATCGGTTGTAATCGGCTTTTAATCTCCATTTCCCGAAGGCACACACACGCACTCGCTCAAACACACACACACACCCACACACACACCAACACACACACACACTGTAAGTGCGCGACAGAGCCGCGCAGCATCCGCAGCGCACCGCGTTATGCGTCCGTTTTCGTTGAAAAATTGAGACAGTTTAACCGGCCTCGATGGTGTGTCCGAAAAGGGGGTGAATGCATTATTCAATAATAACAACATGGTGATGGATGGTGGGCGTGCGGTAACGCGGCGAGGCGAGCGCGTGGTCGCCATGGCAACCGCTTTCCTCCATTCATCAGTGGAGTGGTCGGTGGGGCCTTGCCCGGCGGACGGCCTTGGCGCCGCAAAGTGCAAGGTCAGTCCTTTCCTTTCCTGCGCGTCGACGGACAAGACGCGACGCGTGTCTCCAGCGTCAGGGCGACAGCTCGCTCGCTTTTTCGAGTTCGTTTGGCGGAGCCGGCTGGCTGGACACGGCCTGGAAGTTCTGCGACTCGAAAATCTCAACGAGAAATGACATCGAGTCACTGTCAGTGCGGGTTGGGTTGCGTTCAGGAAAGTGACTACAGAAATTAGGGGACCACGAGAGACCAGGATCAATTGTGTCGATTTGTCGCTTACAGTGGTCCGGCTTCTAACGCCTGCGAGGCAGGCCACCCTCGGCTCCGCGTCGCTCGCCCGTGTTGCGGGTGTGCCTATCCCGCGTCTCGCAGGCGTCCCGGACCGGAGTCCCTGCATCCCTGATGCGTCGGAAAGCGTTCGGCGAGGCGCCTAGTTACACGCCTTGTCCACCTTTCACGCCCAGGCGATGCTGGTCGTGTGTGTGTGTGTGTTCATTACCTGGCACGCTCCACACACACACACACACACACACATGCACACGCCCGATTAGGTAACTCAGTACTCACGCCAAGCGACACGGGCTTGTCCGTAATAATCCGAATAAACCGAACGCCGGGCATCATAATATCATTTGAATATCTCGCGCGCCTTCCCTAGCGGCGTGCGCTCGTGTGTGTGTGTGTGTGTGTGTGTGTGTGTGTGTGTGTGTGTCCGCGCGCAGGCTGCAGTGGCGCGGCCCAGTATCTTGGCTTTCTTACTGTCGTCGCGCCACTTGTCGTCTCGCCAGCGGGGATGACGCGCCCGCTCTTCCCCGGCATAGCATCCCGTCTCTCTCGCTCACCCTGGACCTGGACGGCGGGCGCGCCTCTGGTGCGGAGAAGTCCGCCGTGCTCGCATTTTCTCCCCGCCTGGCGGATTCTCACGGCGCTCTCTGCAGGCCTTATGATTGCACACACGGGGGGCACATCGCTTATTATTGGCCAAGGCACACACACTGGCGCAACCTCCGTCGTTCCCTCTCTCGCACACGTTAACAGCCCTATGGAGCGCTCTCTCTCTCTCTCTCTCTCTCTCTCTCTCTCTCTCTCTCTCTCTCTCTCTCTCTCTCTCTCTCTCTCTCTCTCTCTCTCTCTCTCTCTCTCTCTCCGCACGCGGCCCCATGGCGCCTTACGGCTTGGCGATGGTCGCTTCGTTACAGCCCTGCACTATGATAATGGCGCGCTAAAGCCGCGGTGCCGCGTCCGAGGCGAGGCGACTCGTGAGCCACAATGGCGATAAGAGTTCGAACGGCGAGGCGTCGGCTTACCGCGGCTTACGCAAGCCAACCTTAAGGGCCGGTAAAACGCACCGCTCGTGTTTGAACACACACACACACACACACACACACACACACACACACACACACACACACACACACACACACACACACGCACGCACCCTGACGGGCTGGCCGAGGCGTCGGCGGCAAATGCACAGAGGAAAGTGTGACAGGAGGAAGCCTTGTGATCTGGACGTGGCTGCGCCTTGTGTGTGCTGTCAGTCCGGGCATGCCTTGGGGGCGTCGGCGTTACCTCAGCCCGCGCGACGCGCGTGCCCGTCCACAGTGGGCCAGGAGACCAGCGCGGCCAGCCAAAATTCGAGACGCGCTTTGAGCTCCAGAGTCGCTAAGCAGGACTCGAACCTGGCTTGTGACCCCACCAATGGATTGCTCGTTCGAAGAGCAATCCATTGGTGGGGTCACACGTTCGGTTCGAGTCCTGTTTAGCGACTCTGGAACTCAAAGCGCGTCTAGGATTTTGGCCGCCTGCACCGCTCTTCCGGCCCACTGGCTAGTCTGATCTCTTTGAAGGCCCGCCTGCCCTGCCCGCGCATTAGTTTATTGTTACGCCACCGTTGGGCGCTGCGTTTGCTGCGTACCGCACCGCGCACCGCACCGCGCACCGCACCGCGCACCCAAAGCAGAGTCCCCCGGGCTTTCCAAAAGAAAGTGACGCGACCGGGCGGCCGGCCTAGCGTGTTTGGTCGTGTGTGACACACCACTGTTTACCTTCCCTAACTCTTTTGTTTTGTGTTTTCCAGGCACGGCAGCCCGCGGCAGACGACGCCCCGGCAGCGCCTTGTGACGCTGGAGGTAAGCATTTCAAGGCGGGCCACACTGTCAAAATTATTATTCGTTCTTTTTTTTTTTTTGCTGTTCTCTCGGAAAATAAACATAGTGTATGAGCCCCGTTGCCGGCACGGCCGGGCACGGCGGCTCGCTCCATGATCTCTCAATTGCCGCAGCCATTTCCAGGTAAAACGCCGCGACTTCGCGCGCATTCCAGCCTCCAGTGGCGTGGCCGCGTAGCCGCGTATCGCGTGCAGGCCGCACTTCGCGCCGTTTCTAAATTTCCTTTTAATTTGTCGGGGGCTTGGGGGGGGGGGAGTTGCCTGCGTAGAGGGGCAAAGTGCGCCTCGTTGTCCACCTCACTCTCAGTCCAGATGGAATGAATGTGACAACATGTCACGTTCCTTCGAGCGTTGTGTCACCACTCGTTTGAACGTGAATAAGCTAGTTTATGGCCGATTCACGTTGAAACGAATGTGACACAATGCTCACAGGAACGTGGCATTTTGTCACATTCATTTCAACGTGATGTCTCGTTCCTGGATTGAGAGCGCTTGCTTTCGCCCCTGAAATCTGACCGGTGCCTTTTGGCGTGTTGCAGGAGCGTGGGCGTGGCGGTCCGTCCCCGCCATGTGCAAGAGCGACGAGTACGAGCCTTACATGACTCTGGAGACGCCCGTGGCGTCCAGCGACCCCGACGCGGTGCTGTGGGAGCCGGCCACGGTGGGCAGTGAGGGCTCGGGCGAGCTCTGGAAGACGCTGAGCGCGGCCGACGCGGCCGAGGCCGTCGAGGCCGTCGGGGGCTACGACATGCCCGCCGCCGAGGTGTGGGAGCCGCCGCCCCCCGCCAGCTCCACCGACGAGCTGCTCTGGGAGTCGTCCACCCTGAGCAACGGCAGCGTGCTGTGGGGGTCCGCCGTGCTCAACGACGCCAACCTGGCCACCTGGGAGCCCTCCAACGACGCCAACACGAGCGGCGAGTGGCCGTGGAAGGCCCCCGTCGACGCCAGCCAGCCCGGCCATGAGAGCGCGGGGCACTCCGGCGGCGCCGCCAACGGCGAGGGCGAGTGGAAGCCGTCCTACGTGGTCAACGACAGCTCCGACGGCGTCTGGAAGCACTCGACGGACGGCGGCCAGGACTGGAAGCCCGACATCGAGGACCTCTGGAAGGCGTCTGCCGTGCCCGCCGTGCCCGCCGGCCCCGTCGTGCCCACCGAGACCATCTGGGACTCCACCTTCGCCAGCAACGGCGGCGACCTCCTCGACCTGTCGTCCTACGCGACCAACGGCGGCAGCGGAGCGCTTTGGGACGGCGCGGCCGTGGCCTGGTGCGATCAGGGCGGCGAGGAGCCCCAGGTCCTCCAGGACATCCGCTACTTCTGCTGCAAGCAGTGCAACACCGTGTTCCAGTCGCCGGAGGGGCTCGAGGAGCACGTGAGCAGCCAGCACGACGTCAAGACCCCCAAGGCCCGGCACGCCCCGAAGGAGGCGAAGGGAGCAAAGGTGTCGAAGGCTCCCAAGAGCCCGAGCATCCAGAGCACCCCGAACGCCGAGGGCAAGTACCCGTGCACGCTGTGCTACCGAGTGCTCGCCAACCCGTACAGCCTGAGGCGCCACTACGAGGTCCACGGCAAGGGAGACACCACCAACTACTCCATCGGGCGCAGCCCGGCGCCGCTGCACTGCACCGAGTGCCCCAAGACGTTCACCACGCCCTACAGTATGCGGCGGCACTTCGAGACCCACGGCAAGGGCGCGTACCACGAGGTGTACGGCAGGCACCAGCGCAAGCAGTTCCGCCAGTCCGTGCACGCCTGCCCCGAGTGCCCCAAGAAGTTCACCACGCCGTTCGCCGTGCGGCGCCACTACCCGTGCCACGGGAAGGGCCCGTGGCCCTGGCCGTTCAAGGACGACGATGACGACGGCGAAGAAGGCGACGACGTGAAGCCCATCGTACTGGCGTGCGACGAGTGCCCCAAGACCTTCGCCAGCGACGGCGAGCTGATGGCGCACTCGGAGATCCACAAGGAGGGCGCCGCGTACGCGTGCGGCCAGTGCGGCCAGACGTACACCACCCTGTCCGACTTGAACCGCCACAAGACCCGGACCCACGAGAGGCGCTTCGACTGCACGCTGTGCCCGCGCAGGTTCGGCTTCCGCAACGAGCTGTCGCGCCACATGTCGACCCACAACGTCAAGACCCTGCTGTGCTCCATGTGCGAGAAGACCTGCGCCAACCACCACTACCTGAGCAAGCACTACCGCCGCATCCACCGCGTCACGCACCCCTACATGTGCGTCGGCTGCGGCGAGATCTTCCGCAGCCCGGCCAAGCTGGAGCACCACCAGAAGAAGGTGTGCAGCAACTCGGCGGCGGGCAGCCTGGGGCCCGGCTTCGCGTGCCCGACGTGCGGCGTGCGCTTCGCGGAGGAGAGGAGCCTCGGCAACCACCTCCTGGACCACGTGAAGGGCGAGGGCGACGAGCACGATCTGTCGCAGCGCGAGTTCTTCAAGTGTGCCACCTGCGGCCAGGCCTGCCCGGACCGGAAGGCCCTGCGGGCGCACCGCCAGACGCACGAACTCTTGTTCTGCACGGACTGCGAGAAGAGCTGTGATAGCGAGGGGAGCCTGGCGCTGCACTGCCGCACCCGGCACCCCGTCGAGCAGGCCGAGCAGGCCGAGAAGTTCTCGTGCACGGTCTGTCTCCACGCGTTCGAGCAACACGGAGACCTGCTGCAGCACCTCAAACGCCATCTAGGTCGCTAGGGGCTCTTGTTCTGTTCCTTCCTGTTTAGTATTAACTAAGTATTACATTTTAATGTTGACTGATCTTTTTAGCTAATTATTTTAAAATTAAGGTATTGAACTTCATGTGCCATCTGGTATTATTTTTCGTGGTTGTTCAAACCTGCCATTAGGAGTCATATTGCTATTTTACGGGTAGTGACATTGGAAGTTTTGTGTCGTGTCGGCCGTAGCAACTATGTCTGGTAAATCAGGAACCTGTTTGTGTATCATGTTTCGTTTGGCAAAAAAAAAAAATGCACATCTCTGTGATATTCCAAATGTGTGTTTTGCTAATACACAAAATACAAAAATTAAATTGAAAAGTAACGTTATTTACTTACATGCGCATGGCTTAATTAATGTATTGGATTTATGCCGTCTGATTTGTTTGTTTTTTCCAAGGTCTTTTTGGACCTACCATCTTAATGAGTTAAATTGCTGTTTTACAGGTAGTGAAACATGTGGAAGTATTGTGTCGTGTTGGCCGCAGCAACAATGTCCGTAGAATAAGTAATCTATTTGTGTATCATGTTTTGTTTGGCGGAAAAAAAATGCACGTCTCTGTGATATTCCAAATGTGTGTTTTGCTAATCGAACCCACAAAGTATGAAAACTTGATTAAAAAGTTGATTTGAAAAGAAAAACAAAATCATTTTACTTGCATGCTCATGAACACAGGTCACCAAAAAAAAAATCCAATCACAGCACCGTCTTGTTTAGATAACTGGATCAAACTGTTGCAAGCGCGACGACGTGGTCGACGTGGTCGACTTTCGCAGTGGATGACCCGACCCATCCCCCGGCCTGCCTGACGCTGCCCGGCCTAGGCTTGGCCGCGCTGGCCGCACTGGCCACGCCACTGGTTGGGCCAACAGAGTGACGCAAGGGCCACTAACAGTGATACGGAACCGGTCCTGCAGCGCTGCACTGGCTGCATCGCCCGGCCGGCCGCTCCAAAACACATCCAAACGAATCGAATTAGGCGGGAAAGGGCGTCGAAAAGGCCGACGGCACCCATGCCGGGGAGTCGCTTCTCCGCTCTGTCTCTGTCGCACCCATGGGCCACCCCAGGGGTGCGAGGGAGAGGGAGCGACGGGAGGATTCTTCGGAATCGCTCGGAAGTGGAGGCAACTGGTGGAAACGGTTGGCACAGATTTACAAAACTCACAGTGAAACAAAACGACATCATTTTATTTTCTTTTGAAAAGGAGGATGTAGTTTGGTGGATTGGATAGGGTTTGCAGGGGTGCTATCTCACTGCCATTGTGTCCGCGAAATGAGAAGGAGAAAGCACCCTTGATTACTTTATTCTCCGCGCGCGATTTGGCGTTCGGAAACGCACTGCCGAGTCGAAGCGCATCGCCCTGCACACTGTAGGTTTGCAGTGTGGGCACAACGCGGACGGACCACCGGGCGCGCGGCTTGGAGTGCGCCGTGCGCTATGCCGCGCTGTATCGCAGTATCGCGGTGTGAAGGTCACCCCACTGCACTTCGGCGGGCTCATCAGGGGCCGCCCCGCCCCGCCCCGCCTAACGGGGCCTCCCCATATGGCGGCCCAGGCCCCACGGGGGCGCCCTGCCCTGCCCGCCTTGCCGACGGGGCCCCCACGGGGCCACACCGGGGGCCGCGGGCACGTGTCGCGCGGACCGTTGGGCGGCCGTGCTGCACACCGATGCCGAGAGTCGTTTTCGCCGCTCTGTCTCTCTCGCACTCACGGGGCGCTCCTTGGGGGTGCGAGACAGACAGAGCGACGGGAACGACTCTCGGCATCGGTGTGCCGGGTGCACCCGCATGTATTTATACCAGAGACAACATCGATTGGGGTATTTCCTAGCGGTCGTGTGCTGGCCAATTTTTTTCGCCTCCCCCCAGGGCTTGCTTGCAGTGCAGGCAGATGGTGCTCCGCGCCCTGGGCCTGCTTGGCTGGCCCAAGGGGTGGCCGTGGCAGTGAGGGGAAAAGTACGGACGTTGCGATGGCGTGCATGTGTACACTGTAACGGCTGCGGGGGTCGCGGTAGATCAGTTGACCGACTGCACTGAAACAATGACTGGAGGGATGTTGCCTCCTCGCGCGTTCAAGTCCCGACGAGGGCTCTTCTGAGGCACTGGAAGCGAGGCTGCGGCGAGCAAGGTGCCAGCGCGCCGCGTAACCACACACACACACACACACACACACACACACACACACCGCCGCCGTTACCGCCCGATAAAATCTGTATTGCGCTCAATAATTTTGACAAGGCTGTGACAATAAAAGTGGCCGCCGCGAGGCCACCGGAACGGGCGGTGCGTGCTTATCCCGATCTGGATGCACCCCGCGCCGCGCCGCCGCACAGTGGGCCAGAAGACCGGTGGAGGCGGCCTAAACTCTAGACGCGTTTTGAGCTCCAGAGTTGCTAAATGGCACTCGAACCGAACGTGTGACCCCGACAATAGATTCCTCGTTCGGAGAGCAATCCATTGGTGGGGTGACACGTTTGGTTCGAGTCCTGTTTAGCGACTCTGGAGCTCAAAACGCGTCTAGACTTGTGTCCGCCCCCACCGGCCGTCTGGCCCACTGTGCGCCGCGGCTTACACAAGGACCAAGGACGCTTGCCTGGACGCGCGCCGCGCACCGCGCACGCTTCCTCGGAAAACGAGCGTGATTCGGAATCCCCTTTTGTGGTTTGGTTCCGAGGCTGCGCCTTCAATTGGATAATCGTGGCCCCGACACGCCGAGGACGCGCCGAGGACGTCCAGGCGCGGTCCAGGCGAGAGGGACGCACCACTGGGCAGCTCTTACCAAACAGCCCTCAAAAGCATCTCAGAGACACGTGATTTTCTGTGAGCACGACCGCGTGAATGACAGACGTCGTCAGTTTGCGTTCAATTTCAAAGAATAACCTGCAATTAAAGTGACGATTTCGGAGTCCACGTGACGCCCACACGTTTTGGCTGGAGTCAGAATTGATTGGGCGAGACAGAAAAACTACGTTCAGTTGACAGTTAATTACAAGCGGTCTATGCAAATGTTTCTGCCGGTGTCCGCCGCGGTGCCACATTCCAGCCTTCGCTCCAGCGACTCAGCGACGTCCACGACGGACGCAGACAAAGGCCAGTGGGTTGCCGCGCCGGCCGCGCTGCGTCACTGCCAAAGAACCCCGAGATAATTACACCAAGAAATAGCTTCTTCTTCTTCTGCTTCGCGGTCTTGCACTGGAAACAGAACGTCAGTGCACATAGTACCTGAAATCGCCGCGCAGCGCAGCGGCGCCGTTTCTTGACCGCGCAAACGCGTTTATGGAACACGCGCGTGCTTTTACGCAACGCACGGCACGCACACACACACACACACACACACACACGTGTGTAGCTCGCACGTGCGCCGCACGCGCGCACGGGGGGAGGCGCCAGCCAAAAGGGCCGAGCCCAGGCCTTTCACCGACGCAACGCACTGTACAATTTTCCGTCAGCTTGCTTATTAAACTTTTTTTTTGCGGTCTAGAAACACTTTAGTATGACGGACCACTGTAGTGTCGTGTCGTCGCTCTTTCGGTCTTTCTGTGCAAACGCATGGCGCGCGCCGCCTGACGCCTGCCGGACTGACCAGAGGGACTGACGACGCAGCGCGACGCAGCGCGCTCGGAGCGGACGGGGGGGCAGGCAGGGCACTGCGTCGCTATTGTTTCCGGGCTCCCCGCAAACCCCTTGGGGCCCCAGGGGCTGCCTGCCTCGGCCGCCCCGGCGTTCGCTCGGCGCCGCGCGGACGCGAACGCTTGACAGGCAAACTGGAGTGTGACACTGTTCGTGTCTAACGGCGACTTCCCTGAAAAGGCGTCGGGCCTGGTGGGGCCCGGTGGGGCCCGGTGGGGCCTGGTGTGGGGCCACCACGCCCCGTATCCGTGCCGCGCATGAGGCTTTGGCGGGCACACACACACACCACTCACTTTATTCGCACGCGAAACGTACCTTCGGGCCTCCTGAAGGATGGCGGTGCCTTTCAAGGAGGGCTGTTTCGTGTGTGTGCGTGCGTGTGTGTCTCTCTCTCTCTCTCTCTCTCTCTGTCTCTCTCTCTGTGTGTGTGTGTGTGTGTGTGTGTGTGTGTGTGTGTGTGTGTGTGTCGGCAGGTTGTCGGCGCCGGAAGTGCTACCGTATCGGTTGCTTTGCGGCGACGGCGTGTCACGTGCCGGTATGTGCGTGTGTGTGTGTGCGCGCGTGTGTGTGCGACTGCAGCAGCGGGCCGGCCATTCATGAGGCCGCCACACTGCCACACCGTCGCGTTCTTTTCGGCCCGAATTCTTCTACGAAACGTCGGCGGCGAGCTACAGCAGCAGCAGGGACGGTGGAGGTACTTTCTCCCACGACGGCGGCGGCGGCGGTGTGTGTCTCAAGTAAATCGATGCCCATTTGGCCGTGAACAGCGAGGCGCCAAAGCGACCGCCGGGCCCACCGGCCGGGCCGGGCCGGGCCCCCCACGGAGACGCACTAGTCCGTGGTCGGCGACGCGCGGCGGGGCGGGGTGGGGCGGGGCGCCAGTCCGAAGTCCATCCGTGTCATTTGGGCCCGTGCGGCGTGGGCGCGGACGCGCGGACGGACGGAGGGTGGCCTACTGACTCCCATACCTCCAAGGGGCCGACGGGCCGGTCGCCAACAAGGAGTCAGCGAGCCACAAATTGGCGCCCTTCGCTTCTTCTATTTGTTCATTTTCGAGAAACATTCGCGCGTTTTGGGGGTGCGGATGCAAGCGGACAAGCGTCGTTTTCTAGTGGACTGCGAAACGAATAAGCGACATGGACTCGACTCTTCGTCGCCGCCCTCTGGCAGTGGCGGCGACGCGCCGCCAGCATCAGCTCCACGACGTCCGCGTCGTCCGCGTCGTCCGCGTCGTCGGGTCCGCGGGGAGTTTCCAGCCTTGTTTGCAAACAGTGGCGTTGCCGGCCACGCCGATGCCGGCCGTGCCGCTCCACTCAGCCACCGCGAGGCACTACACTGCGAGTGCATGCACTGCAGTCCAAAGTCCGTGGGCCAATTAAGAAGCCGTCGTCTGCTTTCTCACGACAGGCAAAGTCGACGGCGGAGCGCCCCGGGTGAGTCAACCGCCGCATCGAGTAGGTGAGAGAGAGAGAGAGAGAGAGAGAGAGAGAGAGAGAGAGAGAGAGAGAGAGAGAGAGAGAGAGAGAGAGAGAGAGAGAGAGAGAGAGAGAGAGAGAGAAGAGAGAGAGAGGGACGGAAGATGATCCGACAGAGGACACTCATCTAGCCTTTCAAGTCAAGTTGCGACAGTGTGCCTGTCAGCCTGCCATCCTCGGCCTGGGCCACCACGCCCAGCCTCCGTGCGTTGCGGGCTGGAATGCTGG